ATCTTAAACAAAATCACGAAGGCAACCACTATTCTACATAGACAAAGGACTGATCTCAAATGTTTCTGTTTTAGAAAACTTCTTGAATTGGATTTGCCTCTATTTTTGAATTACAGCTTTTCTTTATATGCTTTCAAAAATAATAACTCCAAATTAGTTGAGTTTAATTAAAATTTTTATACGGAAAATGTAGTGTAAGAAGATAGTTTATTTTTACTCCAATTTGTTTATAATGTAATACCCTAAGAGAAAAAAATTTTTGGTAAACATGTCGTAAAATTAAATATCTTTTTGGACAATTTTTTCCTTTTTTTATCGGCAAGATTAAGTTGGATAAGAATGGAAAATCAAATGAAAAACAGATCTTCTGAATCAGGTAAACTTTTTTTCATTAAAAAAGTTTTAAATCTAGATACTAAAATTTCTAGGCACATCTTAAATTTTTTTAAAAAACCTATAACCTCTTGGGAATCAACAGCATTAAAAAAATCTTGAGAAAATTGTCATGTACAATCTTATCATCTTTAAAATTTGAACAGAAAGATATCACCGGAAAACTAGTGTGCGTCCGCCCTCTAAAGAGTTACAAATAGTTCTTTACCTTAACTGTTCTTCAGAAGAGTCATCTCTATACCTTTTAGGATAAAATTTCTCTATGACTTGTTTTAGAGTTTGATTTGTTTTGCACTGATTATTAACATGCCCTGCTGGAGTTGAAAAAGGTCTCTCAAAATCTCCAATTTCCACCTAATTGGAAATCCAAAAAAGAGAAAATACAGGATATTTAAAAAAATTTTAAAAAGAAAATTAGCTTTATTTTTTCTAAAAATTCTTTATAACATATAATACATAAATCTATTTGTCATGATCGTGCAATTATTGAACTTATAATCACATATAAGGACTACTATTAAAATCTAAATTTCATTTGAAGTCTAATTATGGAAAAAAAATCTATAATTTAAACATTGCAGTTTCATTTCTACATTAGCCACCCAAGGTTAATAACTGGTAGCATGTGCTAAAGGCT